GCTTATTTAAATAATAAATAATAATGAATTTTGTGATAAATATGGTTCAATGAATTAAAGAATGGGTAAGTTATACACTGTGTGCATGTTCGAATCTAGCATTCTGCCTGATATCTCTGTTATTTAGACTAGTCTGGACTAGACCACTACATAAGACTGCAATCTGCTATATGCAGCGTTGCGGACGCCCTTTCTCTTTCCATTTGAAATCTATTTTGGACTGATCCCCGGACAGTGCAACATGTATAATCTTTTTTCCAAAAATCACAGATATAATGACGCCAGCCACCTACGTAGTCAAGACAGATGCTAAAGACTGCAAACGATTTCGGATTAGTCATATGGGCGAAATGAGAAAAAGACTAGACGCGACATATACGTCATGACTAGTCTTTTTGCCTGTTCTTTGCTCGTCTGGGAAAATATCTCCTTATCTTTATACTTTTATTTAACGATCTCGGAACTTTTGGTCAGACCTAAGTATTTTTGACAGTTTTTCTTGTTTTTTCGACATCTTTACCTTTTGACATTTTTATTTTTCGATCAAATTCAAGTGTACCTTCCTTTTAAAGACGACTTTTTTGTTAGAGACGTTATGATCATTTCAATAGTCTTTCAAGATACAATTGATTGATCTAATCATGAAACATATAGAAATCGGCGAATGGTTCTTTTTCTTACTAAAATCAAGATAAGTTGTCCATTGAATAATAATTATTGTTCTTTCATTTTGAATTATATTTTTTAATTGCTAGTAAAAATGATTTCTGTATTCTTGGCATATTGAAAAAAATACCGCAAGAATGAAACCACGTCAAAAGATAATTAAAAATCTAATCGGTTTATCTAATTTATAATTTATAAGCGAAAAATATACGTGTTTGAAAAAAGTGTATTGTAATTTCTCACAAATGTTAAATTAGTGTTCAGATTATTTAAGCGTGAAAATAAATGTGTAACCTTTACTTTTTTGAAGTTCACAGGATTTTCTTTTCGCAATCGCATTGAAATACTCATTAACTAATTTTAGGATAACTAGATATTGCGCATATTTATTGTATCTTTCAAATCGGAACTAGTTTCTGATACAATAAACTATGTTTATTTTTTTATTAAATCTTATAAAAATTAAGTGTAACATTTGTGCAAAGTCTTTACGATGAAAATTTCTTGAAGCTTCAGATGCCGTTAGATCAGATAGAAGCAGTTGCTGATAAATTTCGTTTTTTTGGCAAGTTTGCCGATAAATATTGAGTTACTCTTTCTTGATGAAAAGGAGATTGATGGTGAGAAGATTTCTGAGGTTCTAGATTAAATCGAACTTTTTTCGAAGATGATCGAGTATGTTGTTGCCTAGCTTGATTATGATCATGACGATGAGAATGATGCGACTTTTTTGATCGATGAGCAAGAGATGGTCGTAACGTTTCACGAGGTGATGATGGCGATTGATGAAAACGTGGTAGAGCATCGTAGCCAGCGTCTAATCGCGCATTGTCAACAGCTTCGAAAAAACTTTTTGGTAATTGATATACAAATTTGGGAACAGGTGATTTTGATCGAACTTCCTCTTTTATCGGTGGTGGTTTGAATGTGAGTCTAACTAAAAGGTTTAAGAGACCACGTTTGCGATCTTTACCTATTGTCATGCTTCACGTTGTCGTTATATTTCACAAATGATTCAACTAGTTTAGCGAAGCGAGAAAGAAAAAAACAACGTTCTTTTTTTTTTATTAGATGGACAATTTTGTCACGACTTCTCATCGTAATGCATGAATCATGCAGACGTAGATTCTATTTAAATATGCATTCACATTCAGCCAATAAAAGCCTTGAGAAAAAAAATCATACATAAGATCTTTTGCACTCTGTAGCCTTCAATCCTTAACAATAGCTTCTGTATTACTTATTAAAAATCAATCTGCTTTGAAGGATATCGATGAAAAGTTACTATGGTCTAATTCACACAATAAAAAAATAACAACAATCATACAGTGTTTTACGTAGTTGAAAAAGAGATCGACTTTGTCACTACTTTGAAATATTACCGTCGATTTTCAGCGATCTACATTTTGTTCCACACTAAATATGATTGTTCTAGAAGATAACATTCTAGCAATCTAGCTTATATTTTTTGTTACAATCATTTCATATTGTTTGATGTTACACCTAAATAAAATTGTTAAGCTAAGTTCTTATTATCATTTTATTTGCATTATTAAAACAATGGTTATCTTTGAAATTAAACATAAAGATATCATTTAAAAATAGGTGTGAAACAGAAGAGAAGATAATATTAGTATAACAAGCAATCTTTCTTCACTTGAGTTTTATCTCTAAACATGCACATCTGGTTATTGTTACTTGTATGCGTTCTAACCACAGGAGCTCAAGATTTGATTACATTTGGAATTGGACTTTCAAGTCAATCGCTTTATCCAACCGAGGTTATTATAAATTTCATAGAAATTTATATATTGTATTTAGATTTCCACATATTTTAGACTGAAATTTTAAATCATACACTGGCTCCAGGTTCAAAATTTGGTGTTCTTACCCATTTTTGGACAACTGGTGATCCGGGTGAGTTGTGGTTTTTTTGTGTGATTGTTGATGATTAATCTTTTTAGCTATTGATCAATCTACTTTTTCGTATTATATCGATGGGGAAACTGTACCATCAATTCAATTTGTGACTTATATGTTAGCCGGAGCTGGATTTAATGATCAAACTGCACCCTGGGGAACAAAATGGATTGGTAAAGGAGCACAAACAGGTGGTTGGTATAATAATTTGTAAGTTTATAATTGATTTTTGTGTTCTTTCTTGTATTTGAACTATTTTCTCAAATTTTAGTCGAGTTCCATTTCAAAAATCAATTCGAGTCACTGGTAAATTACCGTCAACTGCTACAGATAGAAAAATTATTTGGATAATTGTACGTGGAACAGAAAATTTACCAACATCTTTTCATGGTTTTCAACTTCCACTAAATGCTCGTTTAACTTTACATAAAATTGAAAATCAAACATATGATCCGTTAGAATGGGTACGTGTTGCTGATATACCAACAGGTCATGGTTTACTTCTTTCACATACATTAGCAGTTAGTAGTGGTAATTTAAATTTCTTAGAAGGTTGTTATCATGCATATACTCAATACGAACAGCAATTTCCAGGTTTAATTGTTTCTACTGGAACAGAAGATTATTTTGATAGTGCTTTTTATTTTAATGCTGGACAATTTCATTTTGAAGTTTCAGGCTATTCGCATTTTCGACAAGTATCAAATGATACACTTGAATGGTCAGCTTATCGTATGCATGACTTAGATCCAATATTTTTTACAAACGGTTTTCGTTTTGAATGGAGAAATGGTGATGTTGTTGATAGTCGTGGTTTTAAATGTATTGTTGATCAAGGTGGACATGTTGTTGGATCACCTACACAATCAACTGTTATGTCATATGCATGGGTTTATGTTTGGTAGAAGAAGAATTCACTTTTTTTTTTCTAATAAAAATTATGATTTAAATGGATTATCTTTTTGATTGATTTATAAAATAAATTTCAAAGAAAAAAATAATAAACGCTCCTGGGTGGGCTTGAACCACCAGCCTTCCGGTTAACAGCCGAACGCGCTAACCGATTGCGCCACAAGAGCATGTTTAAATCGAGTGAAATTTTTAACGTTAAACTTTTATCAAGATTCTTATTCTCTAAAAGATTATATATCATTTAAAACTCCTTTAAATTTTATTTAAGATATCCTAAATAAACGAAAAAAAAAATGTAAAACCAATACGCGATAATAGAACATAATATTTATTTCGTTGTACGAGTAAAGATATATCATTCAATTATTAGTGCTACTATAGAGAAAAAAAAAAAAGATTATTTATAAAGATATTTGCGACTTATTATTGAGCAGAGCTTGTTCATAAAGAAGAGAAAAGAAAAAAAAGTACGCTCATGGGTGGGCTCGAACCACCAGCCTTCCGGTTAACAGCCGAACGCGCTAACCAATTGCGCCACAAGAGCACATTAGTCTCTTTTAATAAAGATCTGTCAACCTTGATCGGCTTTTAGCTAATCGCAGTGATTAAATATGCTAGCATTTGTTTTTAATAATTATTTAGTAAAAAACATTGATATGACACAAAATGAAAATTAATTTATTGATGAGAACTTTATTTTACTAGAAATGAACTGATTTCAAATAAAAATGTTTTATTGATAATAATAAAACAAAAAAGATCCATAGGTGCAATTAAATATTTATTTCCTTGTACAACATTGAACAACGATGTTTTCAATATTACATTCGCTTGGATCAAGTATTTATTCCCTCAAAATATAATTTATCAAGTATAAAAAGAATTCCTTTTTTTTTCTTAACTAGAAATTCATACTATAACGTAATGAAATATATCAATAAGATTTACAAAAAAACCAATGTGACTATTTTACCATAAAGATATCTTATTAAAATTTTAATTTCGATCATTTTGATCATCAAATAGATTGAAATGCAGATCAAATTCAAGACCAGACATTAAACAATTAAAATTTTTCTATTGCAATTACAATTTTAAAAGCAAAAAGTAATCCGTAAATTCGATTGATCATAAAATTCATAAGTCGAAATTATAATCGTTCTTGAGTTCAAACACAGTTTAGATGCGAAATCGAACTGGTGTTTCAATTATTGACGAATATAACTGAGTATAGAAGTCAAATAAAATGCGGATTTGCTTCCAAACTCACGTTCATGCGGAAAGTTCTTGTAGCTGATTAATTGCTTTTGAGTTAAAACTTATTACTATGGAGATATTTCATTTTTACAATATTCCTTAAAACAATGCCGTGGTTCTCCTTAAAGAAATTTCCACAGAGACAGACCTTTTGATGTTCTTCTACCGTAAAATTAGAATATCGAATCTGCCTGTGTGTATATATGAGCAGTGTAAAAGACACGTTTATAATAAACTATTTGCGTGAAAACCTGTCTCTATGCAAAGTTCTAAGTGAAAATTTATAAATCAATTTTCTTGGTGTTTCTGCGAAGTACCAGGACACTGACTTAGGAAATATCGCAAAGATTCAATATCTCGACGACAATAAGCTAAAGATCTACATAATATACATAGTCTTGATCCAAAAGTGATTAATCGATTGAGCGTCTTTCGTTATCAGATCTAATTCGGATCCGAATTTCGATTCGAGAAAACTCCTGAAATAACTTGAAACAAAACTTTGAGTTCGGATAAATAAACTTCATGGCATCCGAGTATTTCAAAGTTAATCAAATTGAAGAATGAACTGGTGTTACAAAATTCTTAGACAATATTTTTTAGTTTCTTCTATCTATTTATTTAGGATATTGCAGAATGATGATTTCGCATGTATCGTATTCATAGTATGGATATGTGCTGATCATCATTCTTCTTTTATTATTAAACATCATTGAGATATAATTTAAAATTTCATGTAAATAAGACACAAAATGAGATAAATAAGAAGAAACTTTCAAAAAACTGCTTTCTCTATAAACATATGTCTTTTGAGATTTACGGAAGGCGACTATAAGGATTTAACTACCGAATGAGATATATCTAGGCTTGCAGAAAAATACTTTCTCGATCAGATGATGTACGTATTATCAAGTGCTATTGCCCAATCCCAAACACCCAGCGCACAACGGCAACACTACAATAGCACACAGAACCCACAGCGTAATATAAAGCATTCAAAGGTACAACATTCAGCAAATACCCTAAAAACAACTTAACTGTCCATCTCTCTAAATTCCTCAACATAAGAAAAGTACTTCTCCGAAAAAAAAGACACCGTGAGATCCACTAAAAATTCATATACATTATGGTACTACTAATTCTAGCATCACCACTAAAAGAATTTACGTTACTTCCTAAATACGAACGATCCATATAGCTGGTATATTATTAATGCCGTCATCACTAATAAAAAATTTGTGCTGAGTTAAAGATGTAGGCGCGGGATGTCACATTTTGGGATGAGTGTGCGGATGTGCATGTGTGAGGATGGGCAAGGCCGAGAATATCTAATCAACAATAAATCCACACAACGATGTAGGGCGAGCCCAAAATTTTCGAACCTGAGACCATATACGATTAACAGCAAAATTTCAGACTTGGAACAGATCGAGTCCGGAACCAACTTAACAGACTCTAACGTTCGATACAAAAAAGAACGTTCAGAAAGAGCCTCATTACTGGAATTATAGTGCTTTTTTTTTGTTAAATAACAGTTCATCAAATAAATATATCAAAAATAGAAAGAAAAGGCAAATATTTCATTTTTTACTTTCTAAATACATAGGATATTAATGAGCAGAAAGCAGCAAAAACAAAAAATGAAGTTTCATACCATTAGCTCTTGAAAATCACATAGCATCGTCTTGAATTATTTCAACACCGTATTCAGCTGATTCATTCAGTTCATTTCTTATTTAAAAATGCTTCTTACAACAAATTAATCTTGAAAATTTCTCCGAAAGTTGTGTGAAAAAAAAAGAAAAATACTTCTAGGAAGTGTCGGAACGTCAGGAGATGTTTGACTTGCTCTCTCCTTTACCTGGACGCCTTTTATAGATGATCCTAATAACATTATGTCTTCTTTTTTCTTTTCTTTTTTTTTTTTGAAATAAATTATTCTGAATGTAATTTCTAATCAAATATCAATACATCGTTAAATTTGTTTTATGTTCATCAACCTTATGATGAAATTTATAATCAATATAAACAAAAGCACGTTCACTTTCAGACAATGACTCAAGTTTCACTTGTAAATTTGTACCAATATCATGTGCTTGTTGAATTCGCAAATTACCTGATAAACCAATATTGACTAATTATATTATACAAATGAATTTGTTTTTAAATTTTAAATTGAATTTTACCTTCGACAAGAAGATCTGTACCACAATGAAATGCTTTTACAATATCAATTTTTGTAAGATCTGATAAAAAATTAATAGCAATCCAAGTTATTAATTTAAGAACTAACTATTTGAAAGTTTTGATGAATATTTTCATATTTTACCAGTATCTTGAAGAACCCATAAAATAATATTGTAAATTGAAATGATTATTGTTCCAATTAGATTGAATATTACAGAAAAAAAAAGAAATTTGAATTAAACAATTTTGATTCTCATTTGGATCTATTACAGTAAATCTTAGATTGATTTTTCGTGAAACAGCTTGACCAAATATAAAAAAATTATTATTTTTTTTATAGTATATCTTGCCAAAACAACCAGAAATGAGTGATACACAATTAGCTAAAACGTCATTACAATGATCTTGTGCTAAAGCTTTAATTGTTTCGACTGAAACATGACGGCAACAAAAATAGAGAATAATTTTGAGAAATATATATAAGAAATGTCATTAAGTTCAAACAAAACTATACTTTGAACCATCTCATATTGAAAATTCATTCTGATTCTATTCTTTCTTGCCATATTGTAATAAACGTAAGAATCATTGTTAATACCGAATGAAAAAAGAAATGTATGAGAAAATAGAAAATTAAACATTATATTAGCAGTATTGATCCAATACATCGTTTTATCTTAGAGTTTCATCAAAAAGAGAAATAGTTGTTACACGATAATATTTCTATAGTGAATCTGCTGAATTAAAGTCTCTAATTCAGATTGGAAAACAAAGCCCTAAAATGTTTGAAATGTTAGACACATCTACTGTGTTTCACAGGACGCCTTAGTAAGACTAGAAAAGACTTTAAAAGCTGAGTTATGGGCATTTTACTGATTTTTTCGGAAAAATGAAATAACAGAATTTCGATCTGAAATTTTGTTCATAGATAAGTCTAATAACTCTTAGGATTTGATCTACCTTATACACTGAGTTTGAATCACGAATGATCAATTTTTCTTTAAACGTAATTTTAATGAAATATATTCATCAATCTAATCTTACCAATCGTTGTACACATAACAACAATTGGAATACGTTTTTTAATATCCATGTTTACTTCAGGCATTTCATTTAAAAGATTTGTAATGTATTGAACGTACGCAAGCAAGTGCTTAATAAATTCGGAAACTACTTGTATTGGTGCTGAACAGATAATAACAGAAAGTATGATGATAATAACTGATTCAAGTCGTGTTCGTTCAGCTCGATATCTATATTGATTTCGATGTCGTATAGTATATGCTATCCAAAATAGAATTATACTCGAACAAAAAAAAATTTAACTTTTGAATCAATTACACTTGAAATAATTGATAATGAATTAGATAGAACGGAAACCATAATTTTAATAAAAAAAATAAATACTTAAATGAAGTATACATTCTTTTTTTTAAATTGGTTTAGTAAATTAATTACAATATTAATAACAAGTGAAATAAGTGTAAGAATTTGAAAATGTTTTTTTTTAAAGTTTAATTGTTGTTTAATCAATGATTTGTTCTTTAAGACTGAAAAAATGTCTATTGTATTCAAGATGAATAAAAGAAATATATAGAATGATTTTACTTGACATGTTTTCAAAGAATTTTTTTTATTCAGTAAATCATATCGTAAAAAGAGAAAATATTTTATTGAACCAGTAATTGAAGTTTCATTCGATGATTTATCTAAGTGTTTATGATACTATAATAGACATTTTTGCCATTCAATTAAATCATCGCTCACTTAAGCAGGTTGATTGTTTCGATAAGGTTGTCTTAGATTTTGACGATGTTGTCGTATAATTAATAGTAAACGGAGCATAATGAAGCACAATACTTGACTGTTCATTGATTCTGTCTCTATCCGACGATATTGTTGAAAAAAAGCTTTTATGAATTATTTCTATCTAATCGATGATTCAGCTAAACAATTATTTAATAAAAAAGAAAAAATCTATGAGCGACGTAACTAAAACAAGCATATAAACTGAAGAAACTTTGCTCATTGAAAATAGAATGTGTGAATGAAACAAAATACATATTTTGATTTAATTGTCATAGAATAATTTTTCTATTTTTGATGAATAATAGTACAAGTTTAATATTCGTCAAAATATTTCATAATACGTTTTTTTTTTTGTTGTTGATATTGAGGATTTTATTTGCGCTTTTGAAAGATTAACAAATTAGAAATCGATAAACTTAAAAACAATATTCGACAGAAAAATGAACAGTAGATATTTCGTTGTTTTTCTTGCAATAAAACGACACTTTAATTCAGTATTAATATTATAGTTACAATTATTAGAGTGGTTTAGGAAAATACTTAAACAAATCTACAACAAATGAAGAAAACTTGCATATTTCTGACTGTATTTTCTCAACGTTAAAAAACATGAATAGATTCGGTTTCATATCGCTCGCTTTTTCTGATCATATTTGGGAACATTTAGCATTTTTTTAAAAATCACAGCTTTTATAATAATGTGTTGATGAAGAAGTAGCTATCGAGAATACTGTCCATGGTTTTTTTGCATAGATGTTCAGCGAGACTGAAAATCTATTGCTGTTGCAATGGTTTTCGAGAAATTTTTCGAAAGTCTCCTTCGTCATCGTAATAAATTATCAGTTAGGTTGAATCCGTCAGATTCATCACGATTTTGACTGTTGGACTTGTAGACATTCGAATCCGGTACAAACTCATGCAATTTTACAATCTCCCAAAAAACGAAGCTACCGTGAACATCTCTAACTTTTTATATAACACAGTTTCTAGTGATTTCTCTAGATCTATTTTTCAAATCTTATCCAGCAATTAAAAAATGTAATTTCTCAATGAGAGTTCCTAATCGAGGACTAGAGCTGTTTTATCATCCTATACGCAGATATTAAATATATCTATAACACATTCCGCTTACATATAAATTGAAGTATGATATACAATTTAAATTTGCTGTAGATGAATTATTAATTTTAATTCTTTTATTATTACAATTGTGTTAACTATATAAAAAAATAGATTAATCTGAGATCGTATTTAAATATTTTACATGTTTTTTTATTAAAAGGATTTTTTACTTGAAATGTTTGTTTTATCATTCTGTTTTTATTTACGAGGCTATAATTTTAGTCTTATAGTTAAGTCTATTGAAAAAGCAGTCAACTGAAAAAAAGATTCTTGCAATTGATAATGCAAGAAGTAGCATCAATGAAGACAAGAAATCTGTTCGGAAAAGCATTAACATTTGATTTCTTGACTCATATGTATAATTGTTTGTTTGAACAAATTGAAAGTGATCTGTTTAGTAAACATTTCAATATTAAAAGAAGATTTGTTGTTAAAACAACTGTGAAATTAGAACGTACTCTTAGAAAATGTATTAAGAAACTACATGAAATAGTGAAGTAGAAATTAGTAACTGTTATCAGTCATGCACTCTTCAATATAATCAAGATGTAAACGAAGTGGTAGTGATATTTTAAGTGATATTCATACAAAGTTGAATATAGTTAATCGAGAAAGAAAATCTATTCAACGTATTGAGAAATTAATAAAGATAAGATACTGAAAAATCAAATTGATTAATGACAATAATCATAAAATAATATAAATTTTCACTATTTACTATTGCATATTATTCAGATTATGGGTGTGAGGATGTAGCACTAAGTCCCTATCCACACCCAAGATCAATTGAAATCCTCTTCGTTAGTATCATTTAAATAACCATTCTTTCAAAAATATTCTTTGCTTAAATATGTCATTGTTAAAATGACGATTTTCTTCATTTTTATCAGGTTATTTTTCGTTAGTAAGTCTGTTGAAAAAATTTCCATTTTCTATTAGTTTGTTGATAGAGTTCATCGGATATTATAATGAATTATAGAAAATATTAGAAACATTCATTCAAGTAATAATACTTTCGTATTTGATTTGTCTCATTTTTTAATAATTTATTTTAGAAAATTGAGAATAAACACCAAACAGATGAAGTACTAAATTTCCAAAAAGGAAAAATTAGTGTTTTGATAATATTAAGAAAAAAAAAATTATAGATCAGTTGCAAAGTGCAACAAAATGAAAGCGAATCAAATTTCCTGAGCAAAAAAAAATTAAATTAACTTGAAATAGCTGAGAAAAACAGAAGACGTTAATGTTTGATGACATTAAATATGCAAATGTGATACTCGTATAAGAAAATTTCAGTATAAAATAAAACTAATGTTTTCAAATTGAAATCTATTCAAATTCAGTTTAAACTTGACTGACAAGACTAATCAAAATAAATAGTTATGCTCTCGTTGTTCTTCCCAGTTAGATTTTCAAGAATAAAATTTCGATTATCTATTATCATAAGAAAGCTATTTTTTGTCTATTGTGATCAAATCAATGTTAATCAGCGACAAACAATCAAGGATGTACTTTCATTATAAATTTTTGTTTCATTGTAGCATCATTACACAACATTAGCGTAAGTAATAATACAAGATGGAAATAGAATGGAATTAACATTGCTAGAGGAAATAATTGTAGCATCAAACTCAATCAACTCGACTGTTCTAAGAAGCTACATCAGATAGTATTGTTCTTAGTGAAAATGGACATGGAACATAAGGAAATAAGTTGAATGTTCCCGAAGATTTGTTATTCGATCGATATGGTAATTTTTAAGTTGTTGATTACGAAAATTTTATATTGATTTAAATTGAAATACTTCGTGTTATAAAATGAGTTTAAATGAATGATAATTTTTTTTTCGTGACTTTTGCTTTTTTTTGTCAAATAATAAATTGAATTATAAACTGTTCGAATAACTCGAAAAACTTGATTAAAAAATAAATAATCTTATTCATTAATCATATTGAGCTATTCATGTCAAATATAAACATCATTTAACAATATTTCTAGATATTCTATCTCAAAATACTTCATTATTTTAGATTACATTATTGTCAATTATCAAGACTATTGTATTCAAAGACCTTTCAGTTCTAAGTTTATTAGCAACTAGCATTAGATCGATTTTTTTTTCTTTTGTGCAATCTAATTTTGATTATGTTCTATTGAATGCATTTAGTTTAGTTTATATATTATTATGAGAAAATAAATAAAATAAGAGAGTTTGATTTCATAAGTTGAACATCATTGTTTGTTAAACAGAATTTATAGATGAAAGAAAATGTTTTATTCCATAATGATAATCAACTGTTGATTAGCACAATAGAATAAGAATAATTTCCAATGCATGTTATTGTTTTCATTTTATCAATCATCTATATATGATATTACAGTTCTTCTAGATACAGTTTTTAATAGAATGTTAAAGATAATTGAGTTCTACAACAACTTATAATATAGAGGAATAAAAAAAATTAGTTATTTATATTCGCAAGGAAAAAAACTAATTATATGAGAATATCATTCCAGGAAGTGATCAATTTGAATTCTTTATCTGAGGAGCTCCTTAATAGTACCATCAACATCCATGCTTCGATATGTGAAGTTCTGACCGTTTATTCCAAGAAACATGAGGATAATGCCATGGAATTCACTATTCCTTCAATTCGTGCTGTATACAAGGCATTATCGGAATATATTGAAGCAATATTTCTGAAGCGCTTAGTATTTAGATTGGTTTTTATCAATATAGAACAGTTTGATTTTAAAGATTAAGCGAGTATCTGTCAATCATTTTGGATATGCAGAAAGAATGTTATCCATCTTCTTTTGCGTGTACAATTAATAGTAATTTTCTTCGTTTACTAATTATTCTATAGTTACCGTATGTTAATCACATTCTTGATGATATAGCGAGATGAATCATGTGAAAAAGTGGAGAATCGACAAGATTTTATGGAATAATTCTTTCATGCAGTGATGCTGCTACCGAACAGGATCATTCACAAAGCGAAAGAGAAAGTGATCTCAATGCGTGCGATAAATGTATCAGTGCATCAGAGACGTTGTTTATAATACCGATCATTCTATTGGAAGTTGTTCCTGTGCCATTACTATATAAGATTTTCATAGAGATCAGCTCTCTTTGTTATGTGTGACTTCTTGCCCGAACTCCAGTCGTAGCTATATATTGTTATGTTCTCTGATGCATGACTACTGTCTTCTCTATATAACCTGTATGAATAAAGAGAGAAGACAAATTTGAAGGCATTGCAGTAGCCAAATATGCATAATATCGAATGTCACAGGCACTCATACCTCTTCATTCTTGCTATACTACACAAGTACTCACCACAACGAAACAAAAATACACGTTTTTGACGTCAAAGATACAAAGATGTATTCGAAATGAACTTACAACAGACGAATGCTGTTATCTAATTTCTGTTAAGGTATATATTATTTCACAAGGTGACAAATGACGACTGAACTCTGCATAATCTTATTTTAGTACTGATTCTTGAAAAGTACTGGTACCGATAATGCCCTAGTATTTTTTTTCGCGCAGACGGACAAATCATTCAATCTCATTTATTTGCAATATGACAGAAAGAACAAAAGAAAGGAAGAAGGAAAGAAAGAAGACGTTTATTCAATTTTTTGTTCTCGCACGAACTTTCTTCAAGTCAGCTACTTGTTCTCTCTTGTGTTCCACCGTTCCATTTCGTAGCCTTGTGCGACCAACTAGTTCATCACAGTCACACAACTCTTGTTGACATATTGATTGCTCTGATCGCTTAGTGTGCTTAAAGGTAAACCGCTATTTTGTGATTCGAGCAAATCATGCCATACTGGATCCACCGAGTTACACAGACGTGTCTTTAGCGGGTGTGGGTGTAAGTGAAGAGAATACACAATACTCACATCTACATGCACACCAACACGCACACATTCACACCTCACACCCACATACCCACACCCATCCGACACCCAAATCAAACATGAATAATTTCAAATTAATTTCTTTACTCTCAAAAAACCGTCAATTAAATATCGTGAAAAAACGCCGCACTCATAAATAATGGTCGAATAAACACATTATATAAGTTTTGAGAACTTCACAGCAGTTCGAGTTCTTCAACCACAAAACCGCTATAGAAGTAAAATTTAGCTCAAAATTTCAAGTTTTCCACTCGGTTTCAGTGGTTCTGGTAGCATAGCAGTAACTTTCTGAACCACTACAGATACCGTTACTAATCATAGCCTAGTACAAATTCGGACCAAACATAATCATGAAAGGAGTGCACTGCTACCTCATGAAGCAATTTTTAGATGATTCTTCAAATTCTTTCTGACAATTAGAAAATGGCGTATTTGATGGAATCCGATCGAGCGTTCTTTCGATCTAGATTGTCCGTTGTTGGACCCATTTTCACTTTATTAAATTTTTTCGAATTTCTGTTCTTCTTGTAACGCTTTGTTTCAACGTTAGACCGAATGTTGTACTTTGAAAGACGATCCACGTTGGATGTGAAGTCAAGAAAGAAAAAAAAAAACTTTCATGAAAGAATAGTAGTTGCAGTGCTCAGGTATATTCAAAGTGAAAGAACTCTCGCAAAAGCGTGAATAAGTTCAATAAAGATGGTAATATGAGACCAATGTCAATTGAAAATGCTTGGAATAGATATTTTCCTTGCAATAAATTGTTTTCAGTCAAAGTGAACAAATAAAATGAGAACCGCTCAATGATCTCTTTTTAATCGAGACCTCTTTTGACACAGTTCTGAATTTTAAAAGCAATCAACGAACTGATCGATACATTTTAGTAGTGAAAAAATAAGTCATGTATGGTGTGAAAAATAAGCGAGCACCAAACACGATAAACACCGGATGCGTCTAAACAATCAAATGAATGACTAAATAATACGATATGTCATTGTTAGAAAAAACAAAAGAAGAACTGAGCCAGTGTTCTGTGTAAGTGATAATGTTATCTTTTGAAGAAGATAAAAGTAAAAGTAAGAGACCCCACATTCAATATTTTTGAAGAATTGTAGAGAATGCAGTCATTTTTCTTTCTTTTACCAATTTTGGCACGTACAACTTGGAGTACATGTAAGACAACCATTGGAATTAAAAACAAGAAGATAATAATAACCATAAAGTGTTTGATGTCATCCAAAATGTTCTACATCGCCTCATATTTCAAATTAGCCAATAAAATATAATTTCTTTTTAAATTTGATTGTGACTTTCGAGTTAAAGATCTGTTAGTTTTTACTTTCACTGAAAGTCCGGTTTTCTAGCTTTAAAAGCAATTTTTTTCCAAGAAAACAAAACCAAATATTTGGAATCGGCATGAAAACCTGTGTCACAGAAAATATATATCAGTTCGATTTGATAGCTTTTTTTCCCCTTTATTATAGGTAGAATATCGAGTTTTAAGTAAAAAAAAAAATCAATTGTTTTTTGTCAAAAACTTCTTGTAAAACTTTAAGATGTATACTATTTGGGAAGAACTTCGCTTGCTTTATTAAATTGCCCTTCCTATATTCTACGGTTGAGATCTAAATTTGAATCATTTCAGACAATCACATTTGGACTGTTTTAGAAAAGAGATAGACTTCAAAAGCAAATTTCTTAATAAGATTCATTTCAATCTCTCTAGCTGCGTCTTGTCCCTCAGCAACGTGGTCACAAGTAGGAAGAACAGTGGTCGGCGGAATACAAGGAAATGCTATAAATCAACTTCATTATCCAGTGGGATTGTTTATTGATCCAAATGATTGTCTTTTCATTGCTGACAGTCGAAATGATCGTGTAATAAAAGTGGAACAGGGCGCATCAATCGGTACCGTTGTAGCTAGTAAACTTCATACACCAACTGATGTCAGTGTCGATAAACAGGGTAATCTATACATTGTGGATTTGAGCACGAGCGAAGGCTCATCAGGGCGTGTGACATATTGGATTAATGGTTCAAACACGAATATCCTTGATGCTTTCGAACAGCTTGACGCCATCGTTTTCGATACAAAAGAAGAGTATTTTTATGTTACGCAACGCTCTAATGGAGGTATTATTAGATATAAAAAAGATGGCACCGGTGAACACACTATTATTGGCAATTTCGGAGAGGGATCAGCTCTTTTTCAACTCGATCAACGTATGTACATTGCAATACCATCATTTTGTTAGAATTCATAACGAACTATAAATTCTCATCGGGGGATTATATAACTTTTCCTCTGAAGAACCTTGTAGATCGAAATTCATAATCAAATCTCTTTGAATAAACTTTTAAAAGAAACACCAGAATTTATAACCTTTCCATTTCCAGAACACAACGGGGGAAGATTACACTTTTCTCTTCTAGTCAGATAGGAAGTAGGTCTGATTTGGGCAAAATTCTTATAAGAAAGATTGAATTTGTACATAACAATGTATTTTCAGAACGAAGAATAGAGAAAGTAAGATGTTACAATGTCAGATATATGCCAATTCTTTCCTTGATATTTGCATTTACTCTCTATTTGTAGCTTGGGATGTCGCTATCGATGCCAGTGGAGTCATTTATATAGCCGATAGTGGAAATAATCGGGTTATCAAGTGGCCAATGAATGCAACAGAAGGGATTCTCATTGGCGGTGGCAATAACTATGGTAATCGCACAGATCAACTAGCTGCTCCACGTGGTGTTTTTGTTGATCATTTGGGTACAGTTTATGTGGCTGATACATATAATGACCGTATCATTCGTATTCCAGTCGGCAGTAAAACAGGAACGATCATTGTCGGAGGACATGGTAGAGGTAATGGTTCTCACCAACTCTTCCATCCGTATGGCTTAGCGTTGGATAGTACTGGAAATTTGTATGTAGTGGATAATGGAAACAACCGTGTTCAAATGTTTGCCTGTAGTGGCTGTTCGTCTTGCAGATGGAATTTTCTTTTATTGACAATTTCGAGTATTCTCTACTTCATCCATCGTTATATAATGTCTTTTGAAACTTTATATTTTAATTGAAGCCAACCATTAACTTAATGATTATAAATTTTCGGGAAACGTTTTTCGTATCCTCTAAATGTCGAATTATTAAATTTGGAGTTGATTCATTGAATAGAGAATATTAGTTGACGTTTCAGATTCTCGAAAACTCATTTTTGAAATTGAAATATAGAAAGTAAAAGATTTTGAAACCAGCATAATCGAATTTTAGAAGCTTAAAATTCATATTGTTCAGTTTTCTATTGTTCTACTGCGCACTTTTTCCGCAGTAAAGCACACAATGACTCCTCACTGTTAATCTGGACGTACCATTGCTGGTCAGTCACCACAGTAACAGAAATTAATCTTAATAGAAAAAATAAACATTTGCACATTTAGCCAACAGATATTTGAATTTTCGCGACCGAATTCTTCGCTCCATTTTCCAGAAGGTGTGGGTGGCAGCTTACTCTACACCCACACCCATCCTTTATTTTTAAAAAAAGCTAATCAATTATATCAAATTTCAGCTATTGTTCAATCATTGGTTTCTATAAGTCGAATGACAAGTACTCATCAAACATCATCAACTGTATCGCTTTATCATGAAGATCGAAATGAATTTATTGGAAATAAATGTCTTGCTAATAGTAATCCAACACGTCGAAGTCTTTCGAATATAATTCGTTATAGTGATATATTAAATTATGTTGGTTTTATTCTTCGATCTCATTCATTATTTTATTGTTCATTTCCGAAAGTTGCAACATGAACTTTACTTATATTCATAACTTATCGTCATATACATGATGATTTAATTCTTTTAATTAAAAATCATTCAACATTATATCTTGATTTTAGTCCTATTGGTAAATATTAGTTATTTAAATCAAATGATTTTATCTTCAATTCAGATAAAAATAATCAAATAAAATTCTTTATGTTTTGTTCTATTTTGTATTTACATTTGTTTGATTTTAATGGAAGAAAAATTACGCATTTTTCGTTTTGGCAATTTCATTTTGTTTGATTTCGGTATAAATTCTATTTCTATGGAGTATATAAAGTATGTGTTATTTATTGCAAAAGTATACAATGAGAAGAAATTGTCACTTAAAATGTTTCTAAGAAATGTTGGCCTACATTTAATATTCTATTGAAAAATAATTTATTAATAATTGATAAATTAGATCGAATTTATTTAATGTTAAACTATTGAGAAATTTTTGAACTATTCTCATCGATCGACATCCAATTCTTTATTTGTTTTAACATAATGTTTGTCACATTTAATGATTATTAATAAAATAAATTCATCAAAAATTGATCTAGCGTCAATATATCAAAATAAAGTTCTTCCTTTTGTTCGTCTTCAAACTTTATCATATCTATCAATATTATTTTCATTAAATTTTACTCGTGTTATATTTGTTCATCATGCATTAGAACACGTAGCATCAGCATGTATTGATAAAATAAGTTCACTTCAAAATGATCCTTTTTTATTATACGATAATCTTCGCCGAACAAGTTGTCGAAAATATTCTTCATTCGATTTAACAAAAAATCAAAGAATATCTTATCGAAAATAAAAAAATGTTTATCAAAGCAAATTGATGAACCTTGTCAATTCATTACAAAATGATGTTCATTGGCAGCCTTATTCAAGATTATGCTATGTTTGTTTATTTTTATATAATTTTATTGGAAAATATGAAACAATTGAAGAAGATTTAAAAAGATTAATTAAACATTTAGGATTAAAATAAAATGATTGGATTAATGAAAATTATTTGAAAACTGGAAAAACAAATGAATATTATAAATTAATGTATTCAAATTTAACAAATGATTTAATTTGTTATTTAAAATATTTTTATAAAGATGACTTCAAGTTATTTAATTATCGATTAGAGGATTATTTCATTACTCCAACAAATGTTCAATGTTCTTCACAACGGAGAAAATATTTTAGAAAAAAAAAATTTTTTTTTGTTTGATAAATAAGGAGATTCATTTCTTATAAACTTATTAAAATTGATATTTAGTCGTCTATGAAAGTATTTATTGAAGTATTCTGTTAGAATGAATCCAGCATATATCCACCAACTACACTTTCCATATCAGATTACATTAGTAAATAAGATGAAAGATATGTATCATTGATTTATTTGTCTTTCATAGTACTGATAAGATTGTTGCTCAATAGATAAAAAGAGTGTGGGTTAAGAGAAGAACTACACCCACACCCATACAACAAAGATGGGTCTTGACGAAATCTATGTCTGGTAAAAAAAAGAACTGTAGTGCCACATGTACAACTCAAGAAAACCCCAAAATACCGCCATCCTGGAGGAGGTCATTTTTCGAATTTTCGACAGTTTTTTACCTATAGCATTATTTTTGTTCTGTTTGCTAGTCACTAAAAAGATATGAATTCGTAGCTTACGCTGCTCCCTATCAAATGAGATGTCTCCGAACTCAAATGGTCAAGACGTTCATGAGAAAATGTCAAAATACTGAGTACACCTATTTTTAGCGCTTTTTTCGGGCCAAAATAGATTCTTTGAACTTGTTTGTCTTAGCTCACGTTTTTGATAGGTAAAATCAAATGATCTCATATGTTTTTGGATTTGACCAGACATTTGATTTGAAATAACTGAATAAAAAAAAATTTTTCCCCGGCGACTTACGATGGCCCTCTGGAGGACTCTCTCTTAAGAGATCTCTCGTAAGTCTATGCACAGCTTTATCTCAAGAAAAGACTCACAAATATGTACATATCAAATTTCGGATAGCCTATTTTCCTAAAAAATATTTTCTTCTGGAATGGATTTAGGAAAAAAGTGAAAGATGGTCTTAGACATTTCAGACAACTCAGAATGAAAAGGTCGATAGGCTCTTATTCTAGACAACTGTTATCACCTGTTTTTCCGCCGTTGTCTTGTCCTTTTGTATCCTAATCTTCAACTCTTAATGCTGTGGCAAGATCAATTGGACGCACAAACTACCGAAGTCCCTTCTCTCTCAAAGTGCAGTACTTCATTACAGTATTTGTTATCTATCTCATTTTGTCGGTATCTTTCAATTATAAGTACTTTAGTATTACAATAATTACGCAAAATAAAAAATCACAAAGATAAATTCTTTTCTATCTATTCTATCATATCGTCATAATTAATAAAGTAAGACACTTCGTTCATCGATCTGAACCATATCACTTCCATGAGATTTGCATAGCTTATAAAAACTCTTAGATCCATCTTTCGCATCCTAATTTTCTGATGCCTTTTCATTTTTTTTTCGGGAGACCAAAATAAAAACAAGGGGCTATCTAATATTTCTTAGAGATAGACTAATTTTCTTTTGTTGCATCGTACGAATCATCCATCGAGCGAAGAAGTATTGCATTTTTACAGAATGCATTTGAAGAGATGCTTTTATGTGGGTGTAAAAAAGATTCGATAAATAATCGACGAATGGCATACTTTATTGACTTTAGACAATCGGTTTTTTCCAATGTCGACAAATGCATGTAGTCAATATTCAGGTTCAGGTGAAGTAATGGCTGTGGGTGTAGTCTTCTCAACATTCAATCTATAAAAAGAGTTGAATATTTCATTATTGGAGTGCTTCAAAAAAAAAATCAGGCAATCCTCATCGAAAGAAATCTCAATTTGCTCTCGTTGTTGAAGCTAGAATCGATTATCATGTTCGTGTCTATGATTATAATCAATTTTTAAAGGGATATGCATCGATTTGGGGTGTTGTTAGCCGACTGACAGAATGTTGGTATTAGTGATCGATGAATTTCTTTTGAATCCTCAAGGTATTCTTTAAATAACAACATATCTATTGTTTACCACTCCAATTGCATTGTCGAGATTGATAGTGTACTTTGAGTAGAAGTTTCGTTGCATCAATGTTGAAGTAGTATTATTTTTGTTTCACTTTGTAATATCAACGTTGATATCAATATTAAAAGAGAGCAAGTGCAATTGTTCCGGAAAAAAATCGTGCCCTGTTTAATTGAACAAATAGATTTGCATTGTAACTTTTGTTTGTTTTTTCTTTTTGAAAGAAATATTATACAGTAATTAATGAACGAAGATATTTTTCAAAAATGAATTTTTCGTTATTATCCGTATTTCGTTCTCTCAAAATAGTTCGTACAGCCATAAACTTTTGTTCATCGACTAACTGATTCCATTTATCATCTTGATATTGTTGAAATATTTTAATGAAGATCTGTCTTTTTCTGTCTTGGTCCGGCTTTCCTGATGATGGATATTGACGATTAAGGTTATCGAAGAATGCTCTCTTTTCATCTCTGTATAACTTTGTAAATTCGTTGATTAAATTCGGAATAATCGATTGTTCGAGTTGCTTTTCAATACGATCATACTCTGGAATATATTCTGGAAAATAATTTAAATATTCTTGTTTTTCACCTTGCAACCAAATAATTAAACAGAATTGTCCTTGTTTATGTGCATTTTCCATTCCAACTGTTCGATAATGAACTATTAAATACGAACGACTTTTAATTTTAATACGATCGTAGGTTCGCATATCACATGCTACAATACCTTCTCCTTTCGTAAAATGCATTTGATTCACATATTGTAAACATTCGTTTAAGTCTAAAAAATGAAATGAACGTGGTTTTGGTACACAAATATTAATTTCGAGTTCTTCTAGTGTTATCATATCACGAGTACCCAAATGATACAACATTGGTTTATCATATTGTATAACAATTTTATAATCTGGATGAACACGTTCAAAAAAATATGCATATCTTTTATTTAATTTCGAATAATCAAGTCCAGCTGCTATAGCTGCTTCATGCCATAATTGTTCATTTGTTTTACCACAACGAACGTATTTTTCTCGAAATTGTTTAATATCAATTCGATTATTGCTACTAACATGCCATTCATCTTGAAAATAGTATATTTTAAAAAATGAACCATCCAACTTTTCGGTGAAACATGTCCAATGACCAGTCATAGTATGAGCGTGTGGTTCATTATAATTCCAAAATTTATAAAATGGTAAACAAACCAAACGATACGGAGGTAGTTTTTCATAGATTGTACCACGATTCTGTGCTAACATAAGTTTTTGTTGTTCTGTACCATGTTTCCACAAACGACTGTCATGTACATACTTAGCACAAAAAAGTTGATCAGTCTCATCAATTGATAGATCATAATTTGTTTGTAAGAGTTCTCGAGCTTCTAGCCAATCTAGATTAGCAATGACTTTTGGAAGTTGGATTGTATCAAGTGTCATCGTAATCTAAACATATAGGAGAATTATAGCCACTGTTTAAAGGAGTCCGATGAATTAAGCAAGAATATGAACACCATTATAGAGGCACATGGAACTGTACAATGGGAAACTCTTATTGCGGTGGCATAAATCAGATAATATCTTGTTATATAAAATTAATCTTGAAAATATATCAAAATCTGAAAAACAAGTTCGAATTAAAACAGACGTTTCCAATAACTTCACATGTATATCGTCATCGACATATGTGTTTAGCAAGTAATTTGGGTTCTTTCGTGCAACAAGTCGATTCTATGGATTGAGATTGCTTGTTTAGGATTCTTGTTTACTTTAATCATAGCGCTCGGACTCTTATGCAGTGCTATGTGTATGAGTAACACCAAGCAGTGTGTCAATGTGATTAAAGTAAAGAATAATGTATTCAAACATTTATTCTCTGTTTGCGGCTACGTTTTCGTGCTAAATCCATTTGCCATCACACGATTTTATGTGCCTCTATAATAATGTTCATAATTTTTACTTATTTGGTTGGACTCCTTTCAACGGTATTCACATAGAGTGAATATTGAAAAGTGTTCTTTCATTACAATGTTTATAATATTTTATCTTTTTCTTATTGATTTGGTTTCAGTGATGCAATACTGCAGGAATGACGCAATGATGATGCAATAAGTGTTGAAGTCGTAATGCAAGATCAATCTTATTTCCCTATCAAATGTTTCTTAGCAATACAGTACATGCTTTGAATGTAGTGAAGTGTACGATGTGTCGATTCAGTAGACTCTGAGCAGATATTTCCGTTTCACATTTTTCTTTTGTTGTGGATCAACCGATTTTCAATACAGTGCGTGGGATCTCTCAATAATTTTCCATGAATGCTGAGCTTATAAAAATAAATTTATGAATTGTTTTTACCTCTCTCAACCTGTACAAATATTATTTCACTAGACTTCTCTACAATGAACTATTGCTGAAAACAAAATTCGTTCGGAATTTGGTTATTAACACAAACAAAATAATAACAACGACAAGTGCTCACCATTATGTATTGTACTGTACTTGTCATAATATGAGTAAAGATACTTTGCACCACTTTTGAAATTATATGAAAGATCCATAATTTTCTAAACATTTCTCAAAACCTTCGAGGATCAATTATATTTTTTTAACTTAGTGTTCGGTTGCCTATTGTGAATAGTTCATCAATATATTGAGCCATTTGTTTATTACAATTCAATAAAGATATCATCTCTTTACCATTGATAATACTATGAGGAAACTAGTCTTGAAAATA